AGCGACGACGGGTCCTACAGAGAATTACGGCGAGCCGGCACAGCGTTTGTAGGCACGCTGAATTCGATTTACTAACCGCGTGCTTGCATGCTAAGTCTCTTTATTTCAGGTGGTGGGTTTATAGTTTTTACCTTAATGCTTTCTCATATAAATATCTCCCTGTACTCTATTTCATTAACTTGCACACATCGCCTAAGCCAATTGTATTCGATTGCCATAACATTTTTGCGTTCGTGGCATTCCGTGAACTATACTTTCTGACCTCGTGCACTTAGCTAGGATTTGTTTGTAATCAACTTATTACATATGGTATTTAATTAAGGTTTATATCACCGTTTCCTTATGCATTAATCGAGTTTTTCTCTTTTTCTTTCTCTCTTTCAAGTGTTTGGCTGTTGTTTGATATCCCCGGTGTGGATGCGCTTGATGTGCATGTTGACAAGGTGCCTACCTGTCTATTAAGCACTACCTCGTCCGTACTGGCTCCAGGAGACAGTTGGTCGTTGCTGGAGGGGACGGGGTGCACGGTCCTTGTGGCCGTGTTAGGATCAAAGAGTGGTTCCATGCATTCAGTGTGGAGCGGACTACGGTCCAGCCACCGCCTTGTGTGCGCTTGATTCCCAAATACAGTGTGCTTTGTTTCGCCTGTGAAGGAGTGTGGGTCGGCTCCGTTGATGAAACGTGGTTCCCATCCGCATGCCTCCCGGTCTTATTCCTTCGGGTTTACACTGGATATGGGGTATGTGGTTGGAGCTGTGGGTGGTGCAGCGCAAGCCATCCATGGTCCCTCTGTAGGCGCAGGCGTCCTGTGGCTTGCCACAGTGACAAGCAAATCCGAAACCGGATGCCGCCAACCATATATATATATATATATATATATATATATATATATATATATATATACTTTCGCCTCCATTTCTTTGACTTTATCACTTATTGCTACTATTGCCTTCTTTTGTACCTTTACACTTGCATAAAATCATAATTATTCTGTTTTTTAGTTTCCCTTCTATTCTTTATTCTAATTGACGTGGCCTTTACGGCGACGACTGATAGTGCAGACCACGTGGGCATTGATTGGCTGACCATCATCTGATTCGTGGGTATTAATTTGCCTCTCCTCGGTTCAACTTGATCTCGCGAACTCTATTCTGGATCAACGACGCACTCAAGAAAGATCATCCATGGGATTTTCCTACCATTCTCTTCCAAACTTGAACTTTTTCGTCCCCAATATTTGTAGCAGATTCGAGCATTACCGTCTAGCGGTACATGTGGTAAGAGATCGTTAAGCCTCGATGAAATAGCCATTGTTGTTTTCTCTTAATTTTGCGTTCCCGTTCTACTTACGATCGCCACACGCGCTTGTATTCACCATCAACTCAGCTCAGACTCGATTCCCACTGCAGTTATGACAACGGTACCCAGCCCACTTCGTGGTTTTAGCCAGGCGCCTTGTGGTCTCTTACTAGGTGATTAAGATAACTCCATCCAACCGCCTACGAGGTATTTGTTTTGCATTACAGCTCCCCAGGTCTACAACGACCTACGTACACACTGGACTCGGAATCCCCGACCGGACGCATACTACAGTTTAAGCCCATCGATGGGCTATGATGCTATCTTTCTTCTTCTGGTTGCATGAAACGTAAAAAGAGTCGACACAAGCAGCTTGCCTTAGAGTTTCTATCGAACATTTCTCTAGATGGCAGTAATGGATCTCACGTCACACACGAGGATGTTCCACGGGGTAAACAAAATTTTATTTCTCAGCGCTGTATGAGTTATCCATCCCTACTTCTTAACTTTTATTTATTTATCCACCTTTTTATACACGATTGTGCATTTCGTTTTGCCCCCGGACTAATAGAGTATTCTTTAAGTATCCTTGTTAGTGAGCCTCTCTCACGTTCGTTCTTTTCATTTTTCTGCGGACAGTATCATAACCACAATCACTGTATAAAGAGGATACTATTACAATCTGTGTAAGCTTCATTGTCAATAGAGCACGAGCAAAAAGGGCAAATGCATTATGTTGGTCTGTGTAATGTCCGCAGTTCGTTTGTTTTGACCACACTAACATTGGTTTGAAACCACGAAAACAAAACGAATTTGGTTGTTTCATTCCTCCAAAGTCGCTACTGCAGCTGTAAGATGCCTTCCCAACGCGACTAGGTTGAACATGGCATTTACATTGAAACACACAGATCTGCAATATGTTTGTCCATTTTTTGTATGAAATTGCACATCTGCAAGAACACTAAGAATAGGAAACCAGTCCCAAACATGTGTCACGTGACGAGCATATCAATGAAAGTGAGAAACACGATCCATACGCGGATGCCCTGGGGTGGTCGATATGTCCGTAATGCAGAACCTATACCTCAGATACGGAGGGTGCCCAGATGAAGAGTCCTGAACGTTGTAATGGGATTAGTTCTTTATCTCCTGCGTACCAGAGTGGGAAATCGCAATCTTTAGCACCTTTCTTGATAGGATAGGCCATGTGGCGTATAAATCAAGCGAGTCGCTAGGTGCTTCATGTTTATAGTTTAATGTGGTCCTTTGTGCTGGGATAGTAGGCCGGTGCACCTTATTCTAACGGCGGGCTCACTATGGCAACGTATAACCTGCCATGAAAGTCTGCCACCGTATCGCACAGATAGTTTAGATTTCGTTTCAAGGTGTCATAATTATCCCAGCAACCACACCATATGCCCTGCACTGAATCAGTATCGCACAAGTTCACGTATTCTGTGTCTCCTTATTCGATTCCCCATAGGATTGTTAGTATTGCCGCTGTCGCAATTGACCAATACACGTTGTGTAACTTCCCAAATACCACTGGTTTCTTCTCATCCCAGCGGTCACTGCCCTCACACCAGGCTTGTCTAGTGACACATTACCCCCTCCCTGGATATCACGTTATATAACTAACGCATGTATCCCGCTATTGGCTGTGCAGTAAACCAATCGAAAAGAGTCATGTTATCCAACAAAACTGCCGTGGGACTCTGGGTTTTTTGATACTGAGGCTAATGTTGCACTCATAGTTTACACTGGATATGGGGGACGTGTGTATAGAGCTGTGAGTGGTGCAGCGCAAGCCACCCATGGTCCCTCTGTAGGCGCGGGCGTCGTGTGACTGTCCACAGTAACAGGCAAATCCGAAATCGGATGCCGCCAACCATATATATATGAGATGTGCCCCATGCTGAGGTTGATGTTGCATTCATGATGCTCCTTCACCGCAGTTGAGCTAAACTAACACTTAATTTAGGTCTTGTTAAACTGGATAAATTTCATTCCACCTTACTTGATTTGATCTGCCTACCTGACTAATCTTCTATTAACTGGTATCGTTGCTTACGCTAATTGCGCTTATTTTCGGTAACTTTGTTGCGTTTGTAGCATTTTTAACTAACTTGTGGACATTATTTCCTTATCGCGGATTCGTTGCTAACCAACTTACTTCATATGATAATTTAGCGAAGAGTTATGCCACCATATCTGTATTCATTATTAAATTTGTTTTATTTCATCTTCTCGTATCAAGGGATTGGCTGTTGCTTGATATCCCCAGTGTGGCTGCGCTTGATGTGCATGTTGACAAGGTGCTTATCTGTCTATTACCCACTGCCTCGTCCATCTGGCTTCAGCAGACAGTTGGTCGTTGCTGGAGGGGACGGAGTGCACGGTCCTTGCGACCGTGCTAGGCTCGAAAAGCGGTTCCATGCACTCAGTATAGAGCGGATTACGGTCCAGCCACCGCCTTGTGTGCGCTTGATTTTCCAAATACAGCGTGCTTGTGTTTGCCTGTGAAGGAGTGTGGGCCGGCTCCGTTGATGAAACGTGACTCCCATCCACATGCCTCCCGGTCTTATTCCTTCGGGTTTACACTGGATTACTATGCAAAATTATAGAAAGCTAAATAATGAGATCGTGGTAGGAGGGGGAGGCTAAGAGGGATGGGGTGGGACAAAGAAACTCACAGCACGAACGCCACTGAGGACGGCTGCTAGCCATGTCAGCAGTTGTGTCCAACCAAATGTGTTCATCGTCTTTCGGACCCCAACTAGGGAGCCGAGACGCTCCAACTGAGGCCAGCTCAGAAGTGAGGGCCTTCGTTCCTCTGGACCAAGTCATCGCTTGGCGACCTCTCCTCTTCTTCCATCCACACCCCCGGCGCGCAAACAACGCACGTCGCGGGAGTCGGTGGGCTGGCATGCGTAACACGTGGCCGAGCCATCGGAGCCTGGTGCGTGAAATGACGGTGCTGAGTGGTTCATTTCCTTTTCCTGTGCCGCAAACAAAGCGTCGAACACGCTGACGCGGTATTCCCACCAGATGTGAGCTAAATTACGAAGGAATCGATTGTCAAACGTAACTAGCGCCTTCAGTTCCGCTGCGTAGGCATTCCAGATCAATCTTGGAGGAACGCTTTGCACTTCGAGGTTGCGAAGCAAAGCCCGAAGTGACTGACAGCCAGTGCTAATCTGTCCAGTGCCGCTTGGCACGTTTGTGAGCTGTCACAGGTTAGGGCAATATCGTCAGCATACTCTAAGTCAAGAAGTTGTTCTCCTGGGAGTAGTTCCACACCTACAAAGTCGTGTCCTGTGAACGCGATTTCCATGACTTCGTCAACAGCGAAGTTGAAAAGGAAAGGTGACATTGGGCATCCTTGTCTCACGCCGCTGGAGATATTAAAGGGCGACGACAACTTGCTGTAATCCCTCACTCTGCCCGAGCTGCGCGCATATAATGCTCGGATAATATTCACATATTTCTCAGGTACACCTTTCCTGAGTAGACAGTCCCAAAGTGCATGTCTATCCACCGAATCGAATGCATCTTTGATATCGAGGAACACGACAAGGGTGGGCGGCCAATATATGTGACGGTGCTCCAACAACTGACTCAAGGTGAAGATGTGGTCAATGCAGCCACGACCTCGACGAAACGCAGCTTGCTCTTCACGAATCTGGTTTTCACGAGTGCCAGTCAGTCTGTGAAGAATGACAGATGCAAGCAATTTGGAGGCGATGGAGATCAGACTGATTCCTCTATGGCTGCCGCATTCCGATCGTGAGCCTCCTTTGAAAATTGGGACTATGATGGAGCGACTCCAATCGGTTGGGACAGTTTATTGCTCCCACAGTTTCACTATTAACTCGTGTAAATCACCCACAAGAGCAGGTCCCCCGAATTTGAAGAGGGCTGGAGGATGGTCATCAGGTCCCGCGGCTTTATTTAACTTCAACAGTTTGATCTCACGTTCGACTTCTGAGCGAGATTGTGGATCCAACTGGACAGCCCACTGATCAGGGCGATCAGTGGCCGGCGAGAAATCTAACCATTCCGACCGATTAAATTGCCTTTTAAAGTGCTCAGCTCAACCCTCTACGCGTTTTGATAAATTGTGGATGGGCTGTCCACTCTCGTCACGTGTTGTTTCACTAACACCAAGTCTCCTGCTGCCCGTTTCCCGTATCAGACGGAATAACTTACGATGGTTAGCAAGGGCAGCGGCCACTTCCATCTCTGACGCACGATGAGACCACCAGGATTCGCGGTCTCTCTTCAGGCTAGCACGGAGTTTTGCCCGAAGCTCTTTGCGAGTTTCATTGTGTTCGCTTACAGCCGGAATATGTCGGCGGGCATCTATAAGTTCCAGAGACTGTGAAGAGACCCAATGTCCATGTTGGCGATCAGACATACCACATGAGGATTTTCCTGCTGCTAGTAAGGTCTGGTGAATATGAGACCAGTGACCTTCAGTTGCATCCAGTGAGCGTTTATCCAACTCGCATGACAGCGTACTTTGATAGGCATTCAGAACAGCTGGCTTCGCCAGTTGGCTGGTGTCAATGCGCTCACAGCGTCATCGTGGGCGTCCGCCAAAGCGCATCCGCAGGTCAGCACATACAAGTGCATGGTCGGTGTCCACACCTGTGCTCCAAATCGAGCGACAGTTCTGGACGCAGCCTCTCCATCGGTAACTTATCGCAATGTGATCGATTTGCGTCCAAGGCTGGTTCGAGGCTGGTGGACGCCAAGTCACCCTCCGGCGGGTGCTGTGTCGGAAATTAGTGCTCGCAAGAAATAAGCAAGCATCCTCACACCAATTAAGTAACCGCTCACCGTTATCATTACGGGAGCCTATACCATGGCCGCCCAGATGCAGCTCATCAGTGGATAATTTTCCAACTTGATCGTTCAGATCCCCAGCCAGCACTACAGTGTCCGAGCTTCTTCTGTGGCTAAGGAGCTCGTTCAGTTGGTGATAGAAGTCTTTTACCGAGTCATCACTACAGTTTGTCGGTGCATAGGAAGCGATAACGAATAGATACCTGTTAGTCCCACGCGACTTCGAAGTTTTGAACGAGCCATCCAATCGGACCGCACACATCCGGCTGCGGATTGGAATCAAATCAACCATAGTAGCTTCAACCCGGGTACTGAGGGCAATACCAACACCGGCTTGGCCGGTGCTCGAAGCTGCATCGTCACCGGATAGGCGCAATGAGAAAGTGCTACTAGTGTCACCTGAAGGGGATCGCAGAGTGAGTACAGCGCTCGAGTCTTGCAGGCGGGTCTCCGATAAGCAGCAGATATCGATCGAGAGGGTCTCTAATGTTCGGGCAAGTGCTGCCTGTTGACCGATTTGTAGCAGTGTGCGTACATTGAGGCATGCCAATCTGAAGGAGGATCGAGGGCTCCAAATGGAAGCCGATGAACTGGAATGGGCAG